TAAAGAACAGATAGCACATCGTCGTAGACTTATGGATGAATGGAATGCCTGGCGTAAGCGTGTTGAGAAAGAATTGAATGAAGAGAGAGAAAAAGCAGGCTTCAAACCAACTTCAAAAAATGTTGAAGAAAATGTTGAAATTGTTGAAGAATGGATTGAAGAGGTTGTGGAAGAACTTGAAGAAGTTATTGATGATTAAATATAATTCTTTTTTTCCATCCACATTAATATTTCATATTATTAATAAATTATATAAAAGAATTCTCCTTGTATTATTATTATTATTTTTTTTAAATTGGTTGAATGGGAATGAAAAAATTTTTTTTAATATGTTAGTTCAAATTTGGTAATTATATATATCTATTGGTTGAGACCCTCTCTCCAGGACCCAGACAATCATATTTGAGGTTACAATACAATAAATATCCCTATTTTTCACATATCACCTCAAATTTTTTTTACCCAGTTTTTAGCATATCACATATGGGACATACTGCAACAAAACCAGACAAAGTGGACACTGGTATTACCAAGAATTTCAGGGATCAAAAATTAGTCATCACAAATGTAATGTGATTAATATTAACAATTTTATAATGGTCTCATTTGTTAGTTTCTTAAGTGATATATAGAGTTACTCCTAGATAAAATAATTAATATGAAACTCCTTTATATCAGATCTATCATGGAGACCAAGAATTATAGCACTATTTGAAATATTTTGAAGAAAGAGCAAGGAGAAAAAGTTGCACCTTATGTTTTCAAGATAAATGATACTCAGAAAAGAAAGGATCATCTATGCAATTTACCAAGAAAGAAAAATAATAAACACTAAGAAAAGAACATTAATACAGAACCACAAAGAACTCAGAAAGAAAAGAAAATCAGTAGAGAAATAATTTGAAAAAGGAACAAGGTGAAAAAATTCTCTTTATATTTTCAAAATAAATGATACTTGGCACTTAAAGCTTATCTAAAAAAGAAAGCAAGCAAGATGAGGATGTGCTATTACAAAACAAAAGACTGAAATCTCCAGGCAAAAAAATCTAATACAAACTTACTATCTATCTACTTCAACCATAATTTAAGAAGTCTCTTTCATGATTAAGTACTGATTTTTTTTTTTGTTAGTTTGAAAATCATTACATATACACACAACATGTTTTTGCATAAAAATTTTTTTTTTGTTTAATAAAAATGCACTTGATTATTATTAAGATAAATTTAAAGAACATATACTCCTGTTTATGTATTTCAGCAACATATTTTGTTGATTGACACCATCTATCAATTAAAGATCGTATGTCTTCTCCATCAACATGCAAATTGTATTTTCTGGTCTTAAATGGAATCTTGGTTTTAGCTTCTGATTCATCAAATTTCACCTAATCATGAAACAGGAGGTCATTAATTATTTGCCATCTGAAAGTTATTCGAAAGTTATTTATGATTTCACCTTTTTTATCTGTACTATGTTCTCCCCATTGGTGCTTTATCCGGTATAGGCGAAATTAAGTTAGATACTCAGTCAGAAAGAAAAGAAAATCATGGAGTATCTTTAAATAGTAATAACTTACCCACTAATATCAGCAAGTATTCCATCATAATTAATGTTTTCTTTATTAACAATGGGTTTACTAAGCAAATATATGACAATCAGCGGTTAGAAAAGCTCTCGAATGATGATAAACCATCATTCTTCTCAATAACTATATAGAGTCACAGCAACCATTACCACCATTCTTTCAATGATGACTATATATATAGAACTAGAGTGATGGTGAGTGGGGGCGATAACCACCACCACCATCCTTAAAACAATTACTCGCGTCGTTCTTTGTTTTTATTGTCGCCTCTTTTTCTTTTCTTGTCATCAAATGACATTTTGAAATCTAAAAAAAAAAGTTTGTTAATTGATCGACGCTTACACATTAATTATTTATCCTATTGGTTTTTTTTTGGTAGGACAGACGCGAATTGATTTTTTTTATTTTTTGACAGAGTTCAAGGTGACAAAACGTGAGTATTGTTGTTTGGTTTGGTTCGGGTCTCCTCATATCAGCCGATTTGGTTTTTTGGGCCTTTTTTCAAACCTTATGTCTTATTGTGTCTCGATGTTAAATATGAGTATTTTTAATGTGTAAACTGGTTGGTAGAATGATAATTACCCTAAAAAAAATTATTTGCTCTGCTAAAAAAACTACAGTCAAAAACCTCGTCACAGCGGATTGATGGGACCAGCCAAAAAAATCCGTTGTGACAAGAAATCCGTTATGGTGATGATCATGATCGACGAAAATTTTTTTTAAATAGTAATTAATAATAAACTAAAAACACATGATACTAATACATGCAGGAATTAAAAAATCTATTTTTTGTAATGAGATTAAATATTTGGTTGTATTAATTTTTCATTATTTTTTTTTCGATTATAGTTGTAAAATTATAAACAAAAT